TGATTCTTTCTGCTTGTCTCCCTTATTCTCCTATATTTACCAAGTGAATCCGCTATTTTGCTCATCTCAAGGCTATGTTACAAATAACATAAAACCTAATGCAAATTGGTAGCAATGCTAAAGAACTTTATTAACTCATATATTTAGAAAGTCTCTGGACTTTCTAAAGGTGGGGTAGCCTTTAGAGTTAGTTTAATTCAGAGGCTCCCCAGTGTCAACAGGAAATAGGGAGAAGGACTTTAAATTGGTCAGATCATCTGCTTGAAATGTTGCAGTCTCTTTGAGGCTGAAACCATGGCCCATCAGAGTTGTTCCAAATGGCTGGGCCTTTACATGCCCACATCCATCAGTCATGGGGTGTAGCTGCTCCTCAAAGGGAGGGTGAGGCAGTCCCTGAAGGAGCAGACAGCGAAAGGGTCTGCAACACTCCCAAAAGCTGGGTCAACTAACCCTTCTTTGAAGGAGGATCTGGGCAGTGCTTCTCTTGACTACCTTAGAGGAATATTTGGTAATGTGGAGCGATGCTGAGACCCCCAGCTTAGTTATTTTTCATCACACCCCAAGAGGAAGGAGAAAAAGACTTCTGTATCCATGATAAAATTAGAGAATCTTTCGCAAGAAGCAGCGCAGCAGATGCTGTTGAGAAAACTGGGCTTGGAGCAATCTGCTCTTGGTGCCATTTGCAGTCAAATGCTACCACAAAAACCTATTCTGCATAGGGGAGCAGAAGGAACCCTCTAGTTATTCCAGTTAGAAAGGTCATTTTGAGAGGTGGATAAGGAGGAGGTGGAACCAAGGAGGACAGTACTGTGGTCCATTTTCAGGAAATAGCCCAGGACATTGGTTAGCTCTGAAGACCCTGTTCAAACTTGGGGAGGGAAGGGGAGTACAAGTGGGTGTGACTCAGCTGCCTCAGGCTGAGTCCCCAACATCCAGTCCCCCTGAGAGTGGGGATAGGCCAGTTTGGCACTTCTATAGAGGGTCTCTTTAGGTCAGGCCCTGAGGACTGACTCGTGACCAAGTTTTCTAATTTGTTACAGGTGTGAGTCAGCCAGTCATAAATAGGAGGGTAGTGATCAAACAGCCAATTGCTCCCTGGTGCTCATGAAACAATCAGTTCTGTATGGGGTGGACTGCTGCCAAGGACCCAGTGACTCAAGGCATTGTGCAGACATGACCAGGGATCCCCTAGACAAAGAAAAAGGATTATCCAAATGATGAGGAGTACTCTGGAGCAGGGGCTCAATAATCTGCAGCCAGCAACATCCATTTTTTTTTTTTTTAAGTTTTTGAAGCAGATAGACATTTCTAAGCAAACAGTTTCCTTGCTAAAAAACTAACTCTGGCCATAGAGAATATAAGCCTTGCTAAAGAGGTCAGAAAATGGGAGCAGGCCTGAGATGTGAATTCTCTGGACATAGCAAGACTATAGATTCTTATGAAACCACTAGCTCAGCTGCAAGTGGAGGAATAGACTTTGAAGTAGAAGGTTGCAGACAGCAAGGAGCTACCTATTAACACTTCTAAGTGTTGGAGCGTGTGTGTGTGTGTGTATGTGTGTGTGTGTGTGTGTGTAGAGATGTGCAGTTCAACCTTCCTCTGGCCCTCTCAAGTAGTCTCTGTTTTCTGTTCCTTACCCCTCTGGGTGGAGGTGGGATGGGTTTCCTTCTTACTACTCAGTTACTCAGTACTATTTCTATCTCCTCCCTTTTTCTTAAGCGCACCCCTAACTTTGAATCTTATGTCTTCAGACTCTGCCATGTACTGCTTTCCAAATTATATTCATCTACCAACCTCCAGGGCTTTTCCTGAAATTCCTTTAATATTGTTGCTCCTGGCTCTCACCAACACTATTCTTGTCAAATTTTTCAGTGATTTCAATATCCTCATGGATAATCTATTCAATGCTCTGGCCCTTCATTTCTATGACCTCTTCTTCTCCAGTGATCTTGTTCTTTAACCTTCCTCAGCACTCCCTCCCTACCATAGACTTTGACAACACCAATAACCATAGCCCCTCCACACTCTCAGTTTCAAGCATCCTGCTCTCAGACAACCACCTCTTATCTTATGAGCACATTCTTTCTAGTATGCCACTCCAACAAACCTTAGACCCCCAACCTCTTGGGAATGCACAACCTCTTGGCCCTAGCAACTTTATACTGTCCATTATCTGCCACTTGTCTTCTCTTCCCTCCTTATCTACCGTAAATTCCATGACCAATCATTTAATTACTCTCTTGTATTAATCTTCAACTCCCTTGCCCCTTTCTTGCTTGATAGTAATGTCTTGGCAAGACCTCAATCCAAGCTAAAATTCAATTCTGCATCTACTTCATGTCCATAACCATGCAATTGAAGAAAAACACTCAACCATGCTGACTGGTCTCATTTTAAACTCATAATCATGAACCTCACATGGGTCCTTAAGGCCATCTAGCAATTGTACATGTCTCTAATTCACACTTCCTCTCTTCTGGAAAACCATTTTGTACCTTCTCTTCCTTCCTCCAACCTCCAACTTCTCTTCCTCTATATTAACTAGTGACCTTGCTAATTTGTCACTAATTTGTATAACTAATTAGTTATACAACAACTAATCTGTATTAGTAATCTCTTGCTGTGTACTAAATTACTCCAAAATTTAGCATCTTAAAACACAAATATTATCTTACACAGTTTCAGATTGGGTGGTTTGGCTCAGAGTCTCTTATGAAGTTGCAGTCAAGTTGCTGGCTGAGAGTACAGTCTCTGAAGACTTGATATGGGCTGGAGGATCTACTTCCAAGCTCATTTGTAGGACTGTTGGCAGGAGGTTTCATTTCCTTGAGATGTGGGCCTGTTATAGGACTGCTAATAACATGCATGGCTTCCCCTAGAGGAAAGGAGACACAGTGTCTTTTAAAACCTAATCTTTGAGGTGATATACTCTCACTTCTGCCATATTCTGTTGGTCATAGAGACCAACCTAGGTAAAATGGGGGAGGGGCCTACGCAGGGGTATGAACATCAAGAGGCGAGGATCATTAGGGGCCATCTTGGAGGCTGATTATACTTCTATTTTAAGAAAAAAAATAGAGCAATCAGAAGAGAACTTCCACAAGCTCCTACCACCATATTACCTATCAGTATACTGTATATTTTAACTTCACTGTTATTATTTTAATTAATTGTCTCTCCTTCTAGCTAAGGCCAATCCCTCCACTTGTTCACTAGATCCCATTCCCTCTTGCCCACATAAGGACATATAATCATGTGCCATATAACTACATCTTGGTCAATGACAGACTGCATATACGATAGTGGTCCCACAAGATTATAATACTGTATTTTTACAGTACCTTTTCTGTGTGTTTAGATAAATTTAGGTACACAAATACTTACCATTGTGTTACAGTTGCTTAAGGTATCCAGTACAGTAACATGCTGTACATATTTGTGGCCTAGGAACAACAGGCTATACCATATAGCCTATGTGTGTAGTAGGTTATACCAACTGGTTTGTGTAAATACACTCTATGATGTTCACACAATGATGAAATCGCCTAATGATGCATTTCTCAGAATATATCCCCATCAAGTGACACATGACTGTATGTCCAAAAATTTTCCCTTCTCTCTCCTGCACCATCAGTTTTCTCCTGTCTGCTGGATAATTCCCATCAACAACAAAAAACATATGCTATGATCTTAAAGAAAAGAACCCTTCTACGACCCTACTTCTACATTCAGTCACCTACTTCTCTGTGTCCTTTTACAACAAAACTCATTGAAAGAGTTGTCTAAAATTGCTGCCTCCAATTCCTTCTCCCACTCTCTCTTAAGTCTACCCCATTAGGCTTTGGCTTTCTAACTGCTCCAAAGACACTCCTCTTTTAAAAGTTATCAATAACCTCCACAGTGTTAAATCCAATAGTAAATTCTCTCAAGTTCTCTTATTTGACCTATCAGAAGGATTTAACACAGATGATCTGTCCTTCTAAATGGAATATTTTTTTCACTTGGCTTTCAAAGTTATCACACTAGTTTTCCTCTGTAGCTTACTGACTGATCCTTCTAAATCTCTTTGCATTCTCCTCTAATTCTCAGCCTCTGTAAAGTTGGAATACCCTGGGGCTCAGTCTAATGGCCTATTTTCTTATCTGTCTCTATTCAGCCCCTTGGTGACTCCATCCAGCCTCATGGCTTTAAATCTATAGGCAACTACTCTTAGATTTATATTTTTAGCCCAGAACTCTCCTCTGAGCTCCAGATACTTTTTTTTATCATACTACTTTCTTGGATGTTGATTAGATAAATAAAACTTAGTCTGTCCCGAACTGAACTCCCGATCTTCCCCCTTCCAAATCTACTCCTTCCACCATCTTCACCTCTCAGTAAATGGCAATTCCATCTTGTCAGTTGCTGAGGATGAAACCCCTAGAGTTTTCCTTGACTTCTCTTTCTCTCTCACAATCTATATTCAAACATTCAGATCCTGAAAGTCTTGCCTCCCAAATATTATTGTTCGCTTAGTCTGTTCCTCGAGGAAGTCCTGCCAGACCCGCCTTCCTTTACCATCCTTTTCCCCTGCTTCCCGCAACTGAGACCCGTGGCCCGCCGGGTCGGCAAGATCATCAGCCCAACCTATCCCTTTTCTTGAGGATTTGGGATGGCCTCAGCGCAGGCCTCTGCAGTCTGCCGGCCGCGCCCCGCATCACCAATTACCCAGCCACCCCACGCACCCGCCATTTCCCGCCCCCTCAGCCGGACAGGAAGAGGAAGTGACGACATCACCTCAGCCTGAAACCCCGCCTCTCAGGCCTGGCTGGCCCCGGGAGGAGACGCGGGGCCCGGAAGGGGCGGTACAGTCCGCGGAGTGGCCCACACGAAAGTGGCGGTTTACTTGAGCGGTTGCCTTAGTACCCCGAGCGGTTTGAGACTGTGGGACCTCAGAAGCAGGATTTTTAATTGGTCCGGGACTCCCACAGCCGCTCAGCGCTTCTCCCCGTAACCGGATACTGAGTATTTGGACTCTGCCTCTGACCGAGGTCTCTCCCCCGCCTTTCCCTCTGGCTGCTGCTGTCGCTCCTACCTTCTACCTCGCTGTGCCCGACGCTAGGCACAGTCTTCGTTCTCTTAGTCCGATCCTTTTTTTCCTCTTCCCTCATCCCTGTTCCTTTGAGAAAGCAATTTAAAAACCTTTCCTTTTCTCTTTATTTCTTCCCATATCTCTTCCCTTATCTTTTCCCTTCTTTCCTCTTTCTTCCTTTTTCTTTAGAATCCTTGTTTTTGCACTCCCTGCCAGGCTTCTGCCTCCTCCAGGGCTTCTCTCCTTTTCAGGGGCCTGTGGCGATGTGTTAGAATTTGAGCTTTTAACGTGGTGGTTTGAAGATTTTTAAGCTCTTTCTTTCTCCGAACCAGGAGTCACAGATGCCAGGAAGTATGGCTCCCCTCAAGAAGTCTCGAAAAACCACAAGGTTACCCTTGGCCTTAAACCCCCTGAAGAGCAAGAACGTGTTGGCAGTGCTGGCTGAGAGGAACCAGACTATAGTACCAGTCGGGGCATGGGTGGAACCTGCCTCAGCAAATAGTTCGGAAATCCCAGCATATGTGAGTGTCAGTTTGATCCAAATGTGATGTCCACCCCGACTTTTTATGAGCTTTCTCTAATCCTTGGTGCTTAGATAAAGATGAGCAGTCTGAGGATGCTGTTTCTATTCTGTCATAAACAGATATGTTCTTGCATTAGGATTGTAGAACAAACATGTCTTTGCCAAAACTTACTGCAGCTTTAGTAGGCATAATTAAATATTTAGTGCTCACTTACTATATAGACTATAATCTATATGGGACAAGATACATATCTCTCTCTATATGTATCAGTTTACTTCACAAACCCTTGATTGCTTGCTATGCACAGGCACTGTCTACATCTTCCAGACACTCTGCAACTTAGTACAGATGACAGTGGGCCACACTTCAAGTAACATTAATTGATTGCTTAAAGTTTGTGATAAATTTTGTAATGGAGCTTCAGGCAAAATACAGTAATAGAGTAAAGAAGAAAGAAATTCTAACTGAGATTCTGAGAAAGTCTTAACTATAAATTCTGTGAGGACACCTTTATGTCTTGTTTATTCCTGTCCTGGCATATAGTAGGTCTTTAGGAGGTATTTGTTGAATGAATGAATGAGAGAATATAGTCTTTATTGGTCCTTAAAGAATGGAAATGCAATAAATACAGATGGTGGGGAGGAGCATTTCAAATGAAGAGAAACTTTTGCAAAGTTTACATGTGTGCATGTTTACGTGATGACTTTCATATGCCAATTAACACATGAGGACAGTTTTGTAAGAAGATATTTGATAGTCTTTCACCAAACTGTGCCCCTTAGTTATTTGTTCTAATTTTATTGTGGCACTTACCATGTTGTATTTTAGTAGATTGCTTATATATCTACTTTTCCTGATGCAGTATGAGCTCCTTAAGCGTAGGGAACAAATCTTATTTATCATCACACCCTCACTTTTAAATAAATATTGCCTAATAAATATAAGCACTCAGTAAATATTTGTGGAATGCACAAAATGTCTTCTGTATGTATACAGAGGTTGCTGAACATGAGTGGAAAAGTATGAGGTATGTTCCCTTAATTTACTTGATCTCAGAGGAGAAGTGAGACATGTTTAAAGTAAATGTTAAGTAGCAATGCAATGGAATATAGCCACTTACTTTACTTATGTTCGTATATGTGTGTTCACTGATTTATTCCTCCTCTATTTTCAAAAAAGAATTTTAAGAGTCTGAGTAGTATATGATTAAATGCTAAGAATATAATGCTTAATCAAAGAAGAAGATATGACTTTGGGTTGATGTGACCTAGGAAAGTGTAATGAAGAATTTTAATAATCAGAGAAGAGAGGTTAATGAGTCTTCTATTAAGGAGAATGGGAGAGTAGCAAGTAAACAAGGTGTGTTCAGGGTTTTAAGGGTAGATTAGATTGATCGAAATGTAAAGTTTACTAGAGGGATGGTGGTTGAGAGGATTATGGAAAACAGGGGTAGTAGGGAACTATAGGAAATTTGGAGAAGGAAATGACTTTAATTGTTTAATACTTACAGGTGAATTTCATGATCAAACGGCATTTTGATTAGATTAATTGTTTCAAAGTTTTTGAGATTTAGGGAGAGATTAAATCCTGGGGACAAGTTAGAATATAATTGTAACAATTTAACCATTTAGTGTAGCATCAAAAAACTTTTAGCTGTAAGGAATGGAGAGGAAAAGCCTTGAAAAGGAGGTAATTGAAGTGGGAATGAAAAGGGATGAATGCAAGAAACATCCTAGAAAAATCAATAAGATTTGGTACAAAGGTATTTTGGTAATTAAGTTGTTGACACCTCTTTTAAATTGCTCCAATTGTGACATCTTTATAATGTATCAAAATGCCTAAAATTTGGTACTATCAAGCTTCTTCTGTATTACAAAGGTTTAAAGGCTGAGCGTGGTGGCTCACCTACAAAAAAGTTAAAAAATTAGCCCGTGTGGTGATACACACCTGTAGTCCCAGAGAGGCTGAGATGGGAGGATTATCTAAAATGTGTTCTTTGATTGTTTTGAGAAACTCTTCATTCTATATTGCCCTCTTGGATAGTTCACAGGGTACAAAAGGGCGATTAGAAGTTAGTTGTGCAATAAAAACAATATTTAACTTTGTTTAACCCAACATTTCCAAAATTTATTTGACTCTGGGAACCTCTGAACGTCCCACAGAACAGCTACAGTACTTCCTGAATCCCCCACTAGATTATGAGCTCTTAGAGGGCAGGAAATACATTTAGTTCTTTGTTTCCCTTACAGTGTATAGTACAGAGCCTTGACCATGAAGGTACTCAATAAATGGTGTATAATTGCTCAGTTCCAAAACATATTCTGGTTCTGGTTGTCTTGCATAATGGTGTTTGCTAAGAATAATATGTTTTTAAAATCTGATATACTCTTATCTTTGTTTTGCAATTAAGATCCACCATCTAATTGATCATGCACTTCAGTAAGATGTTTAATAATCTTATCAAGTAAAAGAGGGATGGGATGGACAAAGAAAATGAAAGTAAAAGAAAGAGGCTGAATGCCCTAAACTTATTGGGGCTTGAGTTAACCTGGGTCAGTTGTTTAGGCTTTGTTTCATCTGTCTCTCCTTTGGAATTATTTTACCTAATTTTTCTTTGATATTTGTATTGAACATTCCACTCCTATGGTCCATACTCTTGTAGAATAGTTTATGGGATAGATTTCATGGAAAATTTAACTTAAATTTAAATTTGAATTATTTGATTTTGAGAATTTAATGACAGCCTGTAAAATAATCTGAGGTACCCTTCAGAATTAGAAATTGGAATCACTGTGTTAGAAGAAGGAATAGATAGGAGGTATGATGATGATTTTATTTATTTTAAAAACTCCTAATGAAAGAAAGACATAGTCAAGAGAAAAGCAATACAGTATAGAACGTAAGTGTTAGAGTCAGAGTCTTCTAGC